ATAATTTTTGGTTGTATAATTAAGGATTTAAAAATTGTCAAAGTTGAAATTTATAATAAAAACATAGTAAGTGGACTTAAACTTTTGGAAGCAATTGTATAATTATTAGTAAAGTTAATTGATCAATATAAAATATATTAGGTTTTTAAAATATAAATAAGTTTTTAATAGTTATAATTATATATTTTAATAATAATATTATTATTGATAAAAAAATATCTACAAAGAAATTTTTTTCTTAGTTTTTAAATAAAATAATTGTAATATCAAAAGATAAATAAAAAATATATAATTTATTAACTTTTATCTTTTATTAAGTTTTTCAAATAATAAAAAGTTTTTTTTAAAAAAAAAAATTAAAATTTTCAAATTTTTATGATTATTATATAAAGTTGAAACATTATTGATATTACTATTTTAAAGTTATAAGTTCAAATTTTAATAGTAAAGTATATATAATAAAATTTTCTATTTAAAAAAACTTAATATGATAAATTTTTTAGACAATATATAACATCAGTAATTAATAGATAAGTTTTTTAAATGATCAAAGTTTAAAATATTTTAATTATATATATCTCTTTTAAAAGGAGATTGTTTACTTGAATAAATAATCTAAAGTAACAAACTGTTGTCAATGATCTTGATAAATAAAGATCTAATACTAATTTATTGGATAGCAAGATATTACTCCCTTAATTTAACTTAAAAGTACCTATATCAGATTTTGTTTTGTTTAATCCAAACTAGCTTAATGAATTCCATATATTTTTTAAGTAGTTTAATCCTTCAACTAATAATATTCAATGACAAGTTAACTGTTATGTGAAAGTCTATATAATATTGTAGATGTTTATTTAGTGTCTCGATAAAGACACGCCATGATGGCATGATTGCGGATTAAATCATTATCCTCCTAATTTGAATATGAATGCCTTTATTGCGAAGTTCAATATAATCATTACTTTTTTAATACCGATCATTACTCCTATAACATTAAGTTCATGCAATAAATTGGTGCATAAATTGAGATTTTATTTTATGTAATACGACCAGTGTTTATTTAAATTAATTTAATCCTGATTATTAAGATTCGGGAGGTTCAACTTCCGTCATTGAATTGAAGTCAGTCACATCACCCAATTATAGAACGCAGCAATCTTCGAAATCTGTCCAGGACACCATCAAACGTTAGGGCTGGACGAACATCTAAATAGAAGCTCACGTTCTGTGGAAAATTAGGATCAGGCTGTCCAGCGTAAAAGTCAATTATATACGTAACTTTCTTGCCACATCTGTCAATCACCCAATCGTGTCTGTCAAATGGTAGCTTATAGCTTTTTGAAGGACAATTTGCGAAACGAGCCCAATAAATAAATCACCAGTAGGATGGGAATACGAAAAAACATTCTATCATTGAACTCACCCTCACGAATTAAATTGAAAGTAAAAGATCTCATGTGTTAACTTACCCTAACAAATTTAATAATCTTGCTTTTGGAGTAATATCCTTTGCTCTACCTTGAAATTTCACCAATTTCGGTTCTCCACAATGACTTTATGGAATACTTGAAGGTTATTCAAGACGAAAAGATAAATTTCAAATCCTAGATCGGAAACTTACTTCTCGTGGAATTTCTCCCATTCCAGTATTTCTCTCCAGGCCTTTTCATTAACAGCATTATGCATTGGCACAATCACACGCATGTCCTCCTCCCGAGGATTCCAATTCTTGCGTTTCATTGCATTAAAAAACATTTGTTCAGAGGGATATATCCAAACTTCGGCTTTTTTCGCCAAATTCTTATCTGTTTCGGGAATAGCACGTGGTATATTTGATAACTGACGCGAAGTGCCAAGTGGAACACGTTGACCCATGGACGGTTGTTGGTTTGCAATAAGTGGCATGTTATTTGATTCATTTATCATAAAATCGCTTGTACACCCCTTCTGAGAATGTTCGTTCGAGTCTGTATTATTGGACTCGGTCTTTGAAGTTTTGGTATGAGCAAAGGAAGACCATACCGAGTGATTTACGGGACAGGAGCTAGTTTCCGTTGAGTTTGATGTAGCAACAGTTTCGGTCATGATAAATTAACTCGTGAATCTATGCGTTGATTAGATATCTTTGATGCGATATTCGTGTAGTGCACTTATCAATCACGTGATCGAACGATTTACAAAGACTGTGAAATTATTATTATCGAAGTAATTTAAAACATAATCTAGTTGTACATTCTTAAGAATGGCGTAACATGTTGAATCGCCTTGTAACGAACCTCTAGAAGTGATATGTAATATATTCGAATAAAAAAAAAAAAAAGAAAAATCTCAAACCCTCGTAGCCAAAGAAACACAGCCCGTCACCCTTATTTTATCTGATGTCTAATGTCTGTCTTTACATAGTAGTAGTAGTTGCTTTGGAAAAGTAACCGGCTAGGTAATTTGTCAAGCCTAGTGCCTGAGTTTGACGCCTTTTAAGTTCTTCTTCACTCAGCACGTTGTCCATGCTATTTGATGAGGCATTTACTCTCCTATTAACATTTTCTTCTTGATATAGTGCCACACTTCTACGTGAACTATTACTGTTAACTTTTTTTGACCTCCTCCTTACATGAGATGACGCCTCCGACCTTACAGATCTCTCTTGAGTAGACTCTCCTGAGTAGGTCGGCTCTGCAGATGATAATCCAATTCTCGAAAACGCGTATGAAAACGCATCGTATAATAATGTCCGTTCCTGTGGTTGGTTGCTACCAGATGCATTTGACGAAACTCGCCCTTGCGTATTCGATGTTGGTCCCGAAGGTTCCGACGAGGTTAAGCCTATTTGATCGCTTAACATATGCTGCCCCTGAGAAATTGACAATATTGTGATTAAGAAAGTATAGTATTGAGTTGATTCAAACGAAAAAAATTTCTGACCTTTAAGAGTCCATCTGAGGCCGCCTGTTGCAGTTTAGCGAGTCCTTTCCGACCCCACTCCGTGCCTGTATTTGCTGCTTGCTCCTGTGCCTTTTCAAAGGCGGTATCGATCTCTTGTTCGTGACGAGTTAAGGCAGGATCAACCAAAGAGAGATAAAGACGAGTAGCTCCCTGTGTTTGCAATGAATTCAATAAATTTTAAATACACCATGAAAGTCAAAAAAAAACTCTGAGACGAATCAAATTCATGCCTGTGTTTGTGGCAAGATTAACCACAGTACGAAAAGCATCTTGAACTCGTAATAGAAGGGTAACCTGGTGATAAAAATGAGCACCAATTGAACTGCCATGGTAAAGAAAAAGAATTTTTTTCGTACCAGAATGCGAATTTATCCACTATTCCCTCTCCGATCGAGAACAAAGCCATGACTACCCAATACATTAGCCATGGCGTTATGCTTTTTGTGTCGTTAACTTTTATGGCTTTGAAGGATGCATATGCGGGATATAAAAAACCTACAAAGTTGCTGCGAGATCCTTAAGGGCGTGAGCTCCGCAAACTAAAACAATTCAGAAGAACGTGATTGAGACACCTTACCAGACCGCCTTGTACAACAAATAACCAAACATGATCCAGAAAGGAGTGAGCAGTTTAACGAAATTGTTTATCGGAAAAAAAGTTGACTCTAAAGGTATTAAGGAAAAATGAACGCGGAGTCATTAGGAGGAAAACTTTAACCAATCATTTCCTAAAGGAGCTATTGATGCCAACATAAGTAGGCCTGTGAAACTTTGATCGACCATTATTATTTCTCTCAAAATACACACCCAAAGAATCATTCGAAGTTAGCCGGGTCTTAAAGCTTCTTTATAAGATGTCGTCGTCCGAGGGGGAAATTGTGACCCAACGTCAAACCGTTAAAATAAAGCCACGAACAGTACAAATTAAACCGCGTCGCGCTGTTTCCGGAGAAACCCTCGTTACTTCCGTGTCACTATCCAAACATGTGTCAGACAATGCGGATTTACAGGGGAGTTCAAATGAATCAAAAAATATGTCAAAAACGTACGACGACGACGATAGTTTCTTCACGCGAAATTCGAACTTCTCTCGAAAAATTATCACAAAAACTGAAAGTTTGTATCTTTTATTAGACAACCCTATTTAATTTGTTCGGATGATATTATTCATGCGTAAATGCTTCGTAGAGAGTGTGGAAATTCTCAAGGAATTGGAAGACAATACACACGGAAATGACAATTCACAATTCAACGACGAAAGCAGTGCCAAACGGGCTCGGAAATCCAAAGGGAAATCAAAGCAGCATGACTGGATTTTTTCGGGCGATCCAATCAACTTAAGTGATTTCAGCGATCATGAAGACCTTTCGTAAGTCCTCTGATTTAGAACATACACCAGGTTATCTTTTAAAATAGCTTATGATCATTTACGATTAGTGACTTCTCAGATGAGATCGATGAAAGAGAGAATAACAAAGGTAAAAAACATGACATTCCAGATCTTGAACGAGAACCTTCTTTGACACCACCACCCGAGCTAAATGAGTATCAACTTCGATCTACGGTTGGTGTGTTACGGTGAGTTCTTTCTCATTCTTCGAACTTCTTGAATAGATAATAATATTGAAAACGGGCGAATCAAATAGCGCTACGCTCATGCAATACTCGGAAAGACTGAGGTCGGATGGTAGTGAAATTGGTTCGCCAGTCGTCCCTTATGAAACCCAAGACGACACAGAACTGGACCCTGATCTGTTAGCTATTCGTCAATCGATTAAACAGAATAACGAGAGGTCAAGTCAAAGCATCAATGCCAAAGTTGAAATTAAGGTAACACCGATACGCCATCCAGAAATTGAAATTAACGACACGAATAGAAAAACCATAGCCGACTATGAGAAACCAATCAAGTTTATCATCAAGACGGTGAGTACAAGGGTAGGTCGATTGAAGCAACCACTTTCTCCGATAATTCGAACTCTTTCCGTTAATTATAGAGTGATAACTTTGAACAAATGATAAAATGGCTATGTGACAAGAAGGGAATATGGAAACAAGACTTGATATTGACATATAAAAAAGTCAAAGTGTTTCCTCGTAGCACACCCGAATCTTTGGGAATGGTTGGTCAGGTTGTTATGGGTATGCAAACAAAATTACCTTTTGTGACTTTCACAATTCCTATTAGTTTGTTACTTGCTCGCTTATTTTAAAATTTCGCAGAGGCATATACGAAGGACACATTTAATTACATCAAAGAACGAGAAGCCCTGAGCAAGAAACGCTTGCTGGACGAATTAGATAGGGATTCGGAATTGTCAGAAGAAAATGGAATAAACGATAACTCGGATGCGTCTGATATTAATTACGTGAATGAAGACGATTATATTCACTTGAAATTGCGTAGTGAAGATGAATCCGTAGAAAAATTAAAAGTAAAAAAGGTGCAGAAATCTAGTCACTGTTATGTGACGTTAATTTTTATTTCACAAAAGCGGCTAATATCGTGTTCTGCATGTCGAAAACAGAGTTTAACAGTGCAGTCTGTTATCGGCCGTTACAAAAAAATGAAAAATATACCGGAAAGTGAAAATGTAAGGCTGTTGTTAGAAGATGAAGCGTTGTCATTCACGGATAAATTAGGGGACACTGATTTGGAAGACGGAGACATGTTGTCGGTTGTTCTCAATTGATCAAAGAAAATTTTTTGCCAATCTAGCATCTAATCAAAATGAATTTAGGCTGTTTATAATTTCAATCCAACATACCTTTAAATAAAAGGTTCGAAGAAAAAAGATTGTAATTTTCAATTTGTGCGATTTATGTTAAAATAAATCCGTAAAAACAGAATCATTGTCGGCGACTATTGTGATTGTTGAAAGCCTGTAGCACCGGCAGCTTGTTGTCCCTTTTTTTGGAGTGATTCACCAATTCTTTGATTGACTTCGAAAAATTTTGAAACGCATCGATCAATGCAAACGGATTCACCCTTGTTCAATTCGCTATCAATGTATTTTGGCGGGATGCATTTTTGATAGCATGAAGATACAATCCTGTAAGAAAAAAAAAATTAAAAAAAAATAAATAAATAAATAAATAAGACACTTTTAATATGACGATATTATTATCAATTTAAAAATATCTTGGGCAATAATCACCGATAAAATGTATCTGTAACCATTTCCAGTTCTTGTTCGGCCAAAGCAACATTATGTTGGTTTACTGTTTGTTGCGAGCCACCACTGCCAAACGGGTAGAAAGACATGGTGCCCGATACGACAAAATACGACGATCCTTAAACATATTAATAATATATTTAATATTTTTTTTTTTTGCAATAAATTGGTAACATGCATTTATTATATCAATAAACTATTTACTTGAGTATTATATATACTGTATATAAAATTTGAGTTAAAATTAAGTCTTCTATCAATAAACTTGTCTTAAGTTAAACCTTTTTAAGTTTGAACAGCATAATGCTTCATAAGTACGTTAGATAAATATTCTTCTAATAATTTATATTATTGTTAACTAATTATTAAAAGTGATTGTTTTTTATAATATATATATATAATTGGTATTAAATATGAACTCTTTATTGAATAATAGAGTTTTCAGTATAATTAATATTAATTATTTTTATAGATAGTGATTTATGTATAGTATATACAAATTAATAATAACCTATCACAATTTATTTTAAATAATCTAGTTTTATTATATACAATATATTATATATTTAATAAGAGTTAGATATCTTATAATATTTTCGAATATTATTTAAAAAATATATATTATCTTCTTTAACATTATTCATGATATTGAATTATTTTTTATTAACTGATTTTTATTTAAATATAGCATTAAATTAAATATCTTAAATTAGAAAAATAGAATTTTAAAATCTATTAGAGTAAGAAAGTTTATAAAATATTTATAATTGATTAGATTAAAATATTTTTTATATAATTCTTATAATAATACAATTGTATAGTAAATCTTAATTTTTAATTGATAAAATTTCATTTTTATGTAATTTAACTTGAAATAATATAATTTTTTAAATAATTAAATACAACTTTATCAATAAACCTGATCAAAAAATATTTTTATTAATTATTTGATAAAGATTTTATGAATAACTTGAAAAAACTATTATTATATTATTAATTCACAAGTTTAATAAGAATAATAATATAAAATTACAGTATATAAATATACAATTATTTTCAAAAATTTATACAATTTTTTTTTTTTTTTTTTTTTTTTTTTTTTTTAATAGTACACAAAGTCTACTTTATTAATTTTAATATAATATATATTACTTGAATTAATAAGCTGTTTTACTAACGTTTTTTCATTATGTATTTCCTACATTATCCTATTAAAAAATCAATTGATTTAAGAAATTCCTTATGGCTTGTTGTTCCTGTTGAGAACTAACATGCTTAGCTCCATTAATACTAATATTAAAAATATAAAAAATATTATATTGTTTTCTAAGTATGTTACCTATTATATTTGTTATATTGACTATTTGAAATTTATCCAATGTGATGTATTCTGAAGTGTTTCTGTAACTTTTCTTTTCTTTTTATGGTGGTTCTATTGATTTCCTAGTCTTTTTTCCATTATGACTTTTTTCTATATCTATCGATCTATATATTAAACATCAGAAATTTTGTATATTGTAAGATACTTTTCAATGTAGCAATAAGTTTTTTTTGGCCAATAGTTTCAATGATGAAGTTATTAAAGGTCTTGCTAATGCTTCCCCTGAATATAAAGGTTTTCAAATTTTTTATGTTGAACTTGATCTTGGCATGTGTAATTGAAAGGGATTTTTTATTTTTTCTATACTAGAGTTTCTAGATATATTTTTATTTCTTTCTTTATAAACATTTATTTTATATTGTAGATAGGTAAAACATGTCTTTTATTAACTTGTATGTCCAATACAATGTTAACTGATCTTATATATATTTGATTACATATTGATATAACTAATTATCTATTTATGATAAGCAAGTAAACTATTATATATATTATATACAAAATTATTCACTTAATGTGGGTAAGACATATGATACTATCTTCATTTTTTCTAGAACATTTTTATAGAGTAATCTCATTATCAAACCATTATATTATCTTTAAACTGTATCAGAGTTTTTAGATACTTTAGTGTGATATATAATTACTTTTTTCACCAAGGTTTTTCAATATTATTGGTATTCTTTTTTTCAAATATCATATATTTTTATATATATTATTAGTAGAGAATTTACTCTTCTTCTTAGAATTTCCCAATTCTTTAAGCTCGGAATCTGTTCTTGATCAGTTAAGGATCTACAAACTCAATGAGTACAAATCAGGTTTCTTCTGGTTATGAACTCTATAGCATTAAGTTTATAATATAAAAGTATAGCACAGTATTACCTACTTATAGACCTGTCTGATCGAAATAATAATCAGTTATAAGTAACACCAGGTTAACAGGTTATATTGACAAATTTCTGTCTTCGATAATAATTGACAGAATTTTTTATAATTTTATTATTTGAAGAACTTGAATCAAAATTTTATGATATAATCTATGGAATGCTAACCACTGTATTATTGATCTATAGGTCTTTCAAATCTTTAATTATAAATAAAAATTATAAAATTTATGTATATTATATTTTATTATTTGATTTATTTTTATATTTTTTTAAAAAATTTTTAAAGTTTTATTATTATTAAATACTATATATTTATTTTATTATTATTTTTTTTAAACTCTTAATCAAGCTAGATATACATATTTTATTAAATATTTGTAAACTTTATATTTTGAAATATTTCATTTAAACCAAATTTCTATCTAATTTATTTATTTCTATTTTATATTTTTTCTAAAATCCTAAGTATAATTTCAAAAATAATTTATTATTTTATTAAAAGTTTAAGTAAAAATTTTTCAACTATTAATTTTATTATTTACAAATTACTATTATAAATCATTCTATAAAGTTTTGACAAGGCTTAAAACCCCAATCACTTTATTTTATATTTAATTTTTTTTGTTAAAATCTTCTTAAAACTTTTATTTTCTAAGTTTTTTTTTTTTATAATGGTTTTCTTCTTACTAAAAATATAACTTTCAGGTCAAAAAGTATAGAGATCTTTTTATCTTGTTCTTTCTATAGATCCTTTGTATTTGTTTTCATTGATTATTTTTTTATATCTTGTATTTCAAATTCCTTTTCAAACTTAATTTCCAATTCTTTTCTATATTTTTATTATTTATTTTTTAACTTCTTTTCTTATTTGTTTTTTATAATATTTTAGGTTTATCATTTTTTAAATAAAATTATTTCAATATGGTTAATATAAAAACTTAAAATATATTGACTAGTTTTTAAAATCTATTTTACTAGTTTGAAAATTCACTTATCAAGCTTTTCAGTTTTTTATTATCATTTATAATTAACCTAGTACTTTTCTTCTTAACTTTCTTTTTCTTTCTTGTAAAAATTCTTTAAAGTTTCTATAAATTCTATCTATTTTTTTATTTTATACTTCTTATACTTAATTTTTGTAAATTAGATATTTTAATTAGTATTCTATTGTTTTATTTTATTAACTATATATAATACATTTCACTTGCTTATAAAAATTAGATCTTTTTGTAATCAGTTTATTTAAAGTTAACAATTTATCATTAATTAGTTTAATAAAAAAGGTTCTCTATTGAAATTTTTAAAAGATAAATCTTATATATATCTATCTTTATTATTTTTTTATATTAGATTCTATATATAAATTTGGTACTTTAAAATTTAATAACTTTATTTTTTTTTTTGTTTAATTTTATTAAGTCTACTAATAAATCATTGTTTGTTATCAACATTCTTAACAAACTATCTAATTAAATTATCTAAGATTATATTTTATTGCTTTATTTTTTAAGATAAAAAAAAACTCTTTTCGCAAATCCCTCAGATCCTTAAAAATTTTCTTTTTAGGCAATACACCCAAGAAAAGAGACAACATACATAACTCAAGACGTATACTCTCACAACATCAATATACAAGAGACATCTTAGCACAGAACAACACTTCATGCATAGTTTTAGTTTGGTGATTACTGAGAAAACACAACATATATCAACAATCTTGGCCTTTTTCTCTTTCCTAAAAAGAAGGAAACAAGTCAACATAAACTGATT